GTTGTAGCAGCAGTTTCGTGATCGAAAGCTGCAGCGGTTTGGGCTGTATTGGCTGCTTCGATCTCCAATAAATTCGTGGTAGCCGCTTCAGTGGTGGCAGTATTTTCATCGAGAATATTAGTAAAAATGACGGGTTTAAAACTCTGCAAAAAATGACGTGCTTTAATTGGGGTTGCAAAAGTGCTCGATTTGCTGAATGTTAAGGCAACAGCCAAAAGAACAAATACAGTTTGGGCGAAGAATTTTGCCATTTTATTTTTATCGATTTTATTTTATTTGTGAGTTTAAAAGTCGATTTTTATTTGTTTAAATTGTGAATATGAGTGAGTTAGCAAAAGAGAGACTATAGACTTGTATAAATAATATCTTCGGTTATTAATGCATCAAGATTTCTGATTATGCCATGTTTCATCAACGCAGCATTTCATGATGTTTTTCTTTGATACTTGATGCTTGTGATATATATTGTTAATGCTAATGTGAGCGAGTTGTCGGAGGATAATTCTAAAGTTATTAATCATAAAAGTACATAATTGATCACAAGCGAATTGTCGGAGTATAATTCTAAAGTTATTAATCATAAAAAGTGCAGAATTGGTCGCAATTTTATTTCACCGTTAGTTTTGTGACATTTAATAGATTACTAGAATTGATACACGAATTCAATTAGGCTCCGTAAATATAAACATAGCGATAGTCGTAAAAAATTCAATTATTATCGTTATCGTTGTTATTATTATTACAATCTTTCATTTAATGTCGTAATATCATTCAATTTGAATTTTTCGGCGTACGTCTTTTGTATGATAAACTTCAAAGTTGTTAATTCAAAATTATTTCTCGTTATTTACGTAGAATAAAAAATAGAACAAAACAATATACCGTAAACTGCTGTGAATAAGCACCGCCATATTTCGATTCAAAAAATAATAAAACAATGAACAAGGACCACTAAATTTAAATTACAAGAATGTATCTCAAATCGCTCTAAATGACAATAATTTTAAATTGAGAGGAAACGAGTACCACCCTGTTTTTTAGAACTCAAAAACTGGTGCTTATTCACGGTAATGATAATTTTGACAGATCACTTTTTGTCGGGCCTGAGATTAATCGGAAAATTAAATTTATGAATTCTTTATTATTTATCATTCAACAACTAACAACAACAATAAAAAATTAATTTACGAATAAAGAGAAAGAGAAAATTAAGAGAGACAAGAATTCTTTCCGCTAGCACAAAGGGACACACCACCATTCCACTCACTCTATTCTAATTAATAGTAATATTATTTTCCCAGATTCACTAAAAAATAATATGATAAAAGAAACTACCCACAACATGATTAATAATGATCGAGCTTTATCAAATAAAAAAAGGAACAAAAAGAAAGATTACAACCGGTCCCAACCCAAATAAACCTTTAGAGAATAATAATCTTAATAATTACAGAATTGTTGTTGTCGTGTTGTTGCTGTTAATATGCTATATTTATATTGCACGTGTGCTGTATGTATTTTATTTACCTGCTACACATTGATTGCGTCGTGTGGTTGTAATTTTCAAACAACTACTTCTAAGCCGAGTCTAAGGTTATTAGTGCTGCTATTCATGCTAGCATGGCGACGATGACGCTGAGGATAATGCTGGTGTTGTTGCTGTGGTGGAGGTTGAATGCCATACGATGCGAGCAATTGTTGACTATCAATGCTAATATCGTCATTACCACCAGACTTTTGTTCATAGTAAAACATTGGCAACATGTTCTCGACTGGATTTTGTTCTTGTTTTTCTTGCTGCGGTGGTGGATTTCTCATCTTCATTGTTGTCTTTAATCCCGAGGTGCATAAAGTTCTCATCAGATTACTATTGCTATTAGTAGTATTTGAATCATTAATATCGGTGAAAAATGTTGAGGTAGAATCTTTTAGATAATAGGGGTTATCATAATAAAAGGATGGTTTGCTTCTTTTGCTTTTATCGTCATTAGTATAGCTATTCTCTCGATTTAGTTGTTGATACGAATGCTGTTTTTGATTTTCACCCGTTCCATTACCGAATCCTTCATCAAGAAGGCTTGATAGATGTTGCTGCAAATGCAAATACAAATAAGTATAAAATAATTAAATAACTAATAATGCATATTATCATGAAGAACATAATACATTATTATCTTGAATTTCTTGATGTGTAGGCAAACTATTTCCAAAGGCCAATCGAAGAAAAGACTCAGAATACCGCCTTCCCATTATAGAGGATGAAGCTGGCAAGCCGTCCAATGTAGAAGAAGAGGGAGTGCTAGTGGAAATCCGAGAAGATCTATTATGCGAAAATCTATCCAAATTTGAGAGAGATTCCTTCTCAATTCGTGATCTGTTCAAGGCGGCCGAGCGCGCATGATAACGATCCAATTCAACATCACCCGGAGCTGAAGAATAAGATTTCTGTTGATCGAAAGGCTCTGATGACGATGCTTCTTCATCATTTTTATTTACTATATTCCATGAAAAACTCTCCTCTTCACTTTCTTGAACAGGCGAAGAAATAATTGGACCCCGACTAATAGTACAAATAGGAGTATTCAACATAGTACATCCACTTTTGTTTGAGAAATAAGAAGATGAAAAGTATCCATCTTCGTCGTCGTTTGGAGGCGTGCTTACGGGAGTCAATGGGAAAGCTCCAAATGATGAAAAGTTATCATTGTGATTCTGGTGACTATTAACACTGTTTTGTTTTCGATGTGGTCCATTATTAGGGTTTAGCGAGAATGTTGGTGATTGAGCAAATAACGAAAACCCGGAAGAGGATGGATTTGAACTTGACAATGACGAATTTGGAGTTGAGCGTCCTGAAGACTTTTGATAATCTTTTCTCATTGTTCCTGCTTCTCCTTGATTATTAACGTCTGGATACGGCGAGAGATGAGATGATCCACTAATTGGGAAATTCATTAAAGATGTTTTTCGTGAAGACGACAAATTAGTATTCGCCGTTTGATTATATTTTGAAGAAATATCACATAATGGTTGTGAGAGGGATGATGATGGTGATGACGACAATTGGCCATGCGTAGTTTCATTCATCAATTTACGATTCGCAGCAATTGCATTATCCAAAAGATCTTTTTGCGCTTGTAGCTGTAATTGTTTCTGTAAGAGTTCATCATCATTCAACAAGGAAGGAGGTGAGTAAGATATCTCGTGCGAGTACGCAGGATGATGATGATTCTTTGGCATCGGAATGAATGAATCATTATTATAGACTACATCTCCTGGATGCAGAGTAGTCGTCGATAAAGGCTCCCATAATAATCTGTCTCCATTTCCGACACTTTTTGAATCACTCAAATGATAATCTAATAAGAAATCATTTGACTCCTGCGCATGAATATTATCATAATTTAAAGACGATCTCGATGAATTTTGTTGATACTGATGATGTGGTTGGACATGATTGTGGTTATTTGTAAGATGATGAAATTGGGAGATGCCACTGAGTGATGAAGAGCTTCGTTGATGTCTGAGTACACGTTGTCGTGGCGTCGTGAAAGTTGGATATGATCCTGTTCGACTGTGAGTGAAAATCGGAGAATCTACACAAAAAGAAAATGTCAATCAGTGTCGAATTTGGAAGTTTGTGCAACATATTAAATTTGTCTATTTAATGCGAGTGGTACTTTACCATGACTTATTCTTCGTTGTGAAGTCGTTTGTGTTGTCGTCAGTAATGGTAATTGACTGGTAGTGATATTAGCAGCTCCTCGACCTCCTTGAAATCGGTGATGGTGATTGCTATTGCTACCACTAATATTGTTGTTGGAATAGTGATAATTTGCCCTGCTGCTTGTTGAGTATTCTGTCCATTTTGCAAGTATTAAATTAATCTCTGTATTTTATTTTTCATTAAAATAAACAAGTTAATAAGTAATACTTTCTACGCGCGTAATTCTGTGTCCGGCTTGTCTCATACTTTAACATGAATAATAAAACAGTATATGCTTTGATTTTTTTTGATTTTTACCTTCAAATTGTGATTTAAATGCGTGCGCTTCATCATGAGACTGCGAATCTGTTTTTTTTGTTGTTGTCAATGCTGTTTTTGCCATCAAGTAGGGAAGAAGGTCGGATTGATTGTTATTCGAAGGTGAGTGGAAAATTGATCGATCGATCGATATATAGAATTTGTGTTAGAAAGAGAAAGGAAGAAGGAAGAAGGAAAAATTCTTAGTAGTTGTTGATTATTGTGAAAAAAGTAACACGTGAAAAGAAAAAATTAATAAATGGAAGAAATGTATCATTGTGTTGTCACTGATTTCTCTAAAATTTCATTTAAAACAACAGTGTAATTGCGCGTTAATATTTACGCCGAAGAATAAGTACTAACTAAATTAACTGAACTGAACTGATTTTTCTGCACTGACATAATTGTATAATAATCGTGTGAAATAAACAGTGGGTACATCATTCAAAATATAATAAATAACGAAAAGATGAGTGTAACGGATGAATATTAATTTTTTACGTACCCGGGTTTTCTGTTTCTTTCTCTCGTTTTTCTTCTTGCTTTTTAATGTCAAACAATTGCGATGATATTAAAGATTGTTGTGGTGAATTATGTCCAGTAATGTTTGCACTGCAAACATCATCTTTCTCGATCATTTCAAAATCACTATCGATTTTGTTCATTGAAATTATTCAAAGAAAATATAGAGAAAAAGGTAATAATAAAGATTTGATTAAGCAAAAAATATATAACACTACCCTATCTATTTTATTTATAATCTAATGAAAATCGGATAATTTATGTACGAGACAACTACATTCAAAGTGGGAGTTGTGGGAGGTTACACCCTTTAATAAAAAAGAAAGATTGGAACTCTAATCTCGGAAGAAAAATTCTGCTACTATATATAATGCAAAAAATGTGTATTGTTCTTTTCTTTTTTGTGGTTTCCCTCTCTTTTTTCAACTAAAGAACTTTATACGATTAATATGCTTAAAGCGAGTAAAACAAACAAGCGAGAAAGAGAGGAAATTCCAAAAAAAGAGAAGAGAAAAAAAATCGATTGAAAAAAGAGCTCTAAAAAAAAACAGAAGTCGCAGTACTAAATAAAAAGAATTACGCACGCACGTAAATGCACAATTTGGTTTTTCTTATCTAGTTGCTAATACGCATAAAGGACATGAAAGATTAAGTATTTGACTACCTATCTTATTGGAAAAAAAATGAATGAATGAGAAAATACTAGGAATTTTATTTGAGAGGATGTTGTTATATCTTATGCTTATATTACTTCTAATTATCTTTAATGAATCTTTATGGATGAGTAAATAAATAAGATTAATGAACCGATATATAGAATGAATATATGTTTGAAGAACATACAAACGTGCGCGTGAAATATGAAGGAAGTGTATTTTATACAAGTTTCAAGCCAAAAATATAGATGTCGCATGGTCATAGAATTTGCTTAATTTTTAGCAAATAGTATGAGTGGAGTGTTTATGAACTATATGGATCAAATAATGCAATGTGGTGCACGTACACACGCGTTTCATAAAAAGGAAAATAGCATATATATATCTACGCGCTAGCAACTGTGAATTTAAAGATCTGTACAATGTATTACATTACGTAAAAATCCCATAAATATCAGAATATAGTTTGACAGTTATAATAAATCGGGAATAATCTACTATTTTAGTTTCCAATTTCCGTTTGCTTTACGGAGATTTTTTATTTATTTATCTATTTTATTTATTATTTGTTATGTACATTAGATGCTATGCAATGCACGTAATTTTAAAGTTTTGATAAAAAGCCTTTATCTTAAAGAGAACAATTTCTCTATTCCTTTTCCATCTCCTAATTTTCTTGTACACAAAGCTAAAACGCGGATAATTAATTTGTGTGTGTGTAGGAATGAATTGAAAGCATGCACGAGATTATACATTTATTAATTAATTTCGTCGTCGTAGTACATCACTATTACTCTCCTTTATTTTCCACTGAAAAACAAATCCGTATAAGAAACGTTAATTCATGTTCTATCATTCTCGTTGTAAATCAACATTATCTTCCAGAGATAAACATGTGCATGATGTTGATCTGCATACACACGAGAAATAGAAATTTTCACACGAAAATCAAAAGCAGAATAAAAAACAGAATCAAATGGAATTAGAATAGATAACAGTGATTCTTTCGCATGCAATTCTGGTTATTTCAACATTAATATCATTGATTTATGTACACGATAACTGATATAGTGGTAATAGAGAATAAAAAAAATAATTGTGGATTAAAGATTCCTGAATTAATTAGTTAATCTAATTTGAGAAGAGAAAAGGGTCCTCCTCCTTCTCCGCATACTTACCAATTTTATTCTTTTCTCTAATAACGAAAAGACGGTTTGGTTCATTCATTCATTCTTTGTGTCGATAATGTGCGCAGAGACATTTCTATATACAGGCAATGACGTCTTCATGATTGTGAATGACGAACGGACCTTATAAATGTTTCAAGAATTAATTTTATGTTTGTTAAAAAAAATTGATGGATTCAGAGTAAGATCATTAATATTTTAATGATTAATATAGATTTTTGGCTACTGCGTTTTTTTTTGTTAATCTGAATCATATTGACATACAAAAATTCATTTTCCTCTTGATCTTCAACTTCGATTCAAACTGCGATTCTTTTTGATTTTTGAGTTCATATTTAGTGATCAAAAGAGTTTCTGCTTAGGTTCGAAGTTCGTCTTTAAGTCCAGTAAAATTTAATAAAATCATTCATTTTCAATCAATGATATATCTGAACTATTAGTAATTTTTTTGTTTATAATAAAATAATTTATTTAGTTTTAACAAATAAATTTAAATAAAATACAAGAGTTTTATCTAATTACTATTATATTATTATCAAATTTGTAATAATAATTAAACTAAATTATAAGCAATAATATAAAGATTAAGAATTGAATTAATAATAATCAAAAAAATATAATAGTGTCAAAATTTATTAATAAAATACAATAAAGTGGAATTTTTTTCAATATAAGTTTTTAATTTTATTAATTTATATTTTAACATGTATTTTTTTTGAATTTTTTAGATTTTTTTCTGACAAAGTTGTTTAAGCTTTGTTTTGATATAAAAATAAAAAATATTTATTAATAAAATTGAAAATACTTATATAAATCAAAAATTAAAATTTTTATTATATTTTATTAATAAAATCACATTGGTAAAAGTATTTTATTCATTGAAAATATTATTTAAATATGAATGAATTATTTGTTGTTCTTTGTTATTTGATTTTTTTAATAATTCTTATTATTTGAAGATTAAGTTTTTTTTAAAAAATTATTTTTGATTTTAATTATCAGATTCTTTTAATAATTTTTCTTTTTTATTATTAGTTTGAATAATTAATTCTTTTGAAAAAGATTATTATTTTGTTGTTAATCAATTTTATTTCTACTTTTTTGATAATTACTTATTAATTTTTTGGAATAAGTTCAAATTCAAGGATTATAATTCATCTTTTTCTAGTAAATTAATTTATATTGAATATTTGTATTATAGAAGATTTGAGAAAATATATTTAATTATTGATAATAAAATATTTTTTATATAAGTATATTTAAAATTTAAATTAATCTTTGATGAAATTCTATATATATTATAATATTAGAATTTAAATTAATTATTTGTTAAAAGATTTTTTGAATTATATAAAAATATACTATAATTACAAAATTTTAAAACAAATTAACAATTAATTATTAACTGATAATTAATTATTATTAATTAAAAAAATTAATAATAATTAATTTTTTTTATTAATTAATTATTAATCAAATTAATTATCATTAATTTTTAATTAGCAATCAATTAATATTAATAATAAATATTAATTAATAATAATTTAAATTATTAATTATTAATTATTTATGAATACTATAATATAATCATACTTGAATTTTAGAATTAATTTAGTTTATATAATAAGAAATACAAATTAAATAATAAGAAAAGAGCTATCAAAAAATCTAATAATTAGATGATTACAATGTGATTAATCATTTGGGCAATGCTCACAACTGCAAAAAGCTAGTATGATTAATAAATAAATTGTTATCTGTCATTATAAAGTAGATTAACAATATTAAATTATCATTTAGAATGTGAGCGAGTTCTTTGTTAGGATAATTATTGTTAATGTAATCAAAGAAAGAAAATTTGCAAGAGCAAAGATTAAGTTCTATATGAGTAGAGAAAATATTTTTGTAAGAAATTATTGCAAAAGAGTTAGAAGAATGACCAGGATGTTGTTTGATAAGATGTTTTTGTTTAGTAAAGATTGAGTTAAATTTTTCATATAGAATTTGAATATTATAATGATTGAGTCAAATTTGTTTGTATTCTTTTTTGGCAAACTATAAGATAAATGTAAAGATTATTTTTGAAATATAAGGAGAGAAAATATTGAGAAGTTTAATTAAGTTAGAAATTTTTGTAGGTACTAGATCTTTGAATGCTAAGTGATAACTAGATTTATAAAGTATATCATTAGATATTAAAGGATTATTAAAAAAGTATAATTTGGTAAAGAAGTTTTTAATTGTTGTTGATAAAGAGGAGAGAAAAAAAAGATTTATGTGTAATTTGAAGTAAGAAGAAATAATTAAAGTGAGTTTGGAACTAAAGATGGTGCGGCAACTGTTGCAACGTGATGACAAATAAAGCATCACCTAGTTGCAACTAGTTGCGGCTTATAA